TTCTTTTCTTTTCTTTTCTTTTCTTTTCTTTTCTTTTCTTTTCTTTTTTTCTTCTTTTCTTTTTTCTTTTTTCTTTTCACTTTCTTGTCTCTCTTTGTTTTTCCTTTCTTTACTTCTCTTCTTTCTTTCTGTCCCTTTCTCTTTTTTTCATTTTCCTTTCTCTTTTTTCTTTTCCTTTCTTTTTTTCTTCTTACATGAGATGAAAGGAATCGGAGTCCTGGGGAGTGGGGAGGTGCGGAGGGGAGGGTGGAAGGGAGCCTGGGTAGGTAGTGATGGGGTGGAGGGAGGGGATGCGACTTCACTCCACATTGCTGCTGTCGAAGGCGTGGCACTGAAGGTCTCCGCTCAGGTAGTCAGTCCCCGGCAGCTTCATGCCGTATTTGTCCACACACCAACACAACCCGCGCTTCCGGCCTCGGGAGGGCTTGCACTGGGGAAACACCCAAGGGCAGAGATCAGGAGCTAGCTCCCTCATGCTGGGGATCAGGATCAACCCTGGCCTTCCCCCTTTAACCCCAGTGATGAAATTCCCAGGGTAGGACCTAGTCCCTGCTCTCTGCTTTCAGCACATCCCCATCTCTGCTGCCACCCCAGCCCAGGGTTCTCTGACTTTTCCTCCTCCCTCACTAGCTCCTTCAGGATGCTTACTTCAGGCCAGATGGCACTTCGAGCCATCAGCAAGGCCACCCACTACCAAACGTGCCTGGTGATGCTCATAGCAACATCCCCACCAACCCAGCAGAGGAAAAACCTCCATCCTTCCCATCCAAGGCAGAGGCAGAGAAAAGCTTTGCTGGGTGGGGAGCATCCCTCCTTCTTACCTGCTTCCTCTTGTAGAAGCCCTTGCGGTCGCAGTTGGGGAGGTGGACAGCGCGGGGGACCATCCGCTGGCTGCTCTTTAGCTCCTGCAGAGATGCCTCCATGTGCCTGCGGCAGGGGCCCTGCAAGCAGGAGAAGATGGAGTGTGAGAAGGGGAGCGTCCTCACAGCAAGCCTCCAGCTGCAAAAGCCCCCAGGTCCCCTCTCCTCTGCCACTGGCACCCACTCCCCAAGGGTAAAAGCCATCCTGCAGTCACCTGCCCATGGGAGCCCCATGGAGGGAAGGTGAAGGCACCCACCAGCTCAAACTCTTGCCGGAGCTCAGGGATGACGACACGTGGGTGCGCCGTGTTCTCGGCCATGCCCACAAACTTGGCCAGTGTCAGCTTCTTCCGGCGGTCCTTCTTCAGGGCTTCAGCCTTGAGCTCAGAGAGGCGCCCGTGCTTGGGCCGGTAGGCCTTGGGCGGGTAAGTCTCCTCTGTCATCTCCGATGTGGTCGGCTCCTCATGCTCTCGGGACTCTCGTTCTGGAAGAGACAGGTACCAAACTGTCAGGTCTCCATGGGCTGACTGGGGCTTGCTTTTGCACAGAGAGCCTTCTGCCCAACCCCAGAAGACATCTTTGCACCAGGCAGACAGGATGAGGACAAATAACCAAAGAAATCCCTTTCCCTTTCCCTGTCTACAGCTCTGGCTTTATCTCACTGTGTGGGACTTTGTGAGGCTTTTATATGACCTCTGAACTCAGGACAGGAAGGTGTCTGAAGACATGGTGGAGTTGGAGGTCTAGGATGGGCTTTGATATACAAGGGCTGTTACCGTTTGTGTGTGTCAGTGGAAAAAGACTGGTGTGAGGGTCATCCCACACCCAGAAAGGGCCAGATGACACTTAAATGAGTCAGAGAAGCCCCTCTATCTGTTGTGGGAGAATTAAGTGACAAATTCACACTCCACCCAGCCTTTCAGATGCAAGAGCAAAAGCCAGGAATGCTCGAAGATGAGACAATTCCAAAATCAAGGTCAACAACACAGCAAAGCCACCACATGACAAGGCAGGTACTTCAGCAGTGAAACCAAAGATTCAGCTGACAAGTGCTCGGATCTCCAGGGTCCTCAGCTCACAGCCCCACACTCATGGGACACCAGCCTCCATCTGATGGTATGCACCAAGCAGAGAGCAAAGCCAAGGCTAATGCTCCCAAGCAGTGCTGCCTGACTGTAGTTACCATTGATGGTAGTATTAGCAAAGGAGGAGCACATTTAGGTTCTGTCCATGGCAGTTGTCTTCCTGTAGACCCCCCAGATCACCTCAGCGTAACCTCTGCCAGCAGGATGCAGTCAGGAGCCCTGTGAGGTTTATATTTAGGAGCAAGCTGGTGACAGTCTAAACTTAGATGACTTGTGACATTTAGTACAGCCACCAGAGTGAAAAAGGGCTATTTCTGTACTAAATTTGAATAGAGTTTAAAGCTCCTGAGGTTCCCAGTCTCCTGACCCCTGGTTCCCAGCAGTCCGGTGCTGATGCCAAGTCTGCTGGGACCAGCAAGTGACCATGAGGAAACTCACTGCAGTAGAAGGAAAAGCATCAGAGTGGCTGAAATCCCTTCCTGAACAGCATCTCCTGCAACTTTGATACCAGTGAACCCAGCTCATCCTCTCCTACAGGATGGAAAAAGCTTCAGGATTAATATAAAAGCAATTAGACTCCCTCCCAACCAGGCAAACAGGAATCTCCTTGCAGATGGACTGCTCCCTTGAGCCCAGATGCAGCCCCAAGGGGGAGGAGGATGAAAAGGATGCCTCTGCCCTATTAGATTGCCCAGGGGTGGCCAGTGAGGGGGACAGAGGAAATGCTCAGTGGCAGATGGCAGCATCAGCCTGTCACACACACCCCACCTGGGGGGTTTGGAGGTGACCAAGGGGAGAGGTCGCTGGGTCCCCAAGCCTGCCACAGATACCAGCCTCCTATTCTTCCTTGCCAAGGCGAACTTGCACTCTCCCATCAAAAACTGGAAAGTTTTTCACGGCCACTTATTCGTTAAAGCAGTCCTTTTTTTTTCATTTCCACAAGAACGGTGCTGGATCAGCATCCCAGACTCAGCACCCTCCTAACTGCCCACAGCAACATAAGTGACCCCCTGCACCACCCCTGGGACTCACACGGCTCCCCAGCATGGGATCATTTTGCCATTTTTCCCCATGATGCTCATATGCTTGGTGTTTTATTCCTTGTTGCAGGACTCAACTGCTTCCACAGGTCAGAGCTCCTTTATTCTAAGAGGGTTACAGACAAGGGATAGGGAAGAGATTGAGTAAATTTGGAATGACCCCTCAGGAAATGAAACTGGTCTTCTTTTGGACCTTGAGTTGCCACAATATCTTTGAGGCAAAGGATGCAGTTCAACTGCACCTTGTACAAAGACATCCACAGTGACTAAGTCCTTCCACGGCAGTGAAACACACCATGTCCCATCCCAGGAATCCCTTCTGGCACCCACTGCCAGGGCTGGAGAAGGCAAATCCAGGGCATCTCCCTGGGCTGCCCTACGATAATAAGGGGAGGGGAGGTTTCACATTGGTGCTGGCAACCCTGAAGTAGCACAAGAGGGGCACAGCTTATTACCTCTGCAAATAAATGAGGAGCAGTTACCTGGGCAATCCTAGCAAATAAAACCAAATAACAAATGAAGGGTACCACGCAGTGAGAATTCAGTCAGAAAAACAGTACAGGGTGTCCAGTCCCCAGGACTCACTCTGCAATGGGTGTTTGCAGCAGCTCGGCCTGCTCATTTGGTCAGCAGCTTTAGCAGCAAACAAAATAAGGTAAGGGTGCAAACACCTTCTCTCTCCTCTCCCTGCAAGCTGTCAGCAAGCCAGAGTGAGCTGTGGAACCCTTTCAGCAAGGGGAGATGGCAGCCACAGGAGCTCTGCAAGGGAGCTGAGGACTAGTGTGCACTGAAAGCTGCCCAGCTCCCAGCCCGAGTCCAGTGCTTCCTGCAGGGCTGAAAAAGCACCTGGAATTGACCCCCTTCACTCTCCCTGGAATGCACGTGTGCCCCTCAAGCAGTGATATGACAAGGGATGGCTGTGGTGGGACTCCTCCATCTGTCACTCAGCAGTGGTGTCTAGTTTGGGTCTTTATATCCCAGTGAGTACCCCATATATGCCTTGAAGGGATCCCTTTCCTGCACCCTCTAATGTTTTTTATAGCCTAATTTCCTTCAGGAACAAGGCTGATGCAACCCCTTCTCATGCACCCGATGATCTGTTCCCTAATTTGATACTAACAAGCCAATTTTGACAAACTGAAGGGCAGAGGTCTCTGGCACAGAAACTCCTGACAAGCTCTAGGCAGCTGGTGAGAGACCTTCCTGGTGCCAAGAGGAGAGGGAAAGTCAGAGCCAGGACATGCATCGCCCATGCAACTCCCCTGCTTCTCTTCCTGGCTGGCTCATCCACCTGAACCTGCAGCTGCCCACCGCAGCCAGGACCAGACCCTCACATCAGCATCTCCAGAGCTCCTGTCTCTGCTGGCCCATCCTCACCCACCAGCTCATTCACTGACCCCTGACTGCCCCTGGGCTGGCTCATGGCAGGCAGCACTGGCACTGCTGTGCCTCCGCACCTGAGGAGATCCCGGCAGGAGCAACACCCAGTTTCCCCAAATGAGCCCTACTTGTGTCTGTCTGAGACTCGGGAAGGAGGCTGGAGTTCCTCCTCCCTCGCTGTCAGGTTCTGGCCTGCCACACAACCCCTTCCCGCCTACTACCATCTACCTTGCCAGCCCAGGTGGCTGGGTTTCAGGCAGTCAGCTGTCTACAGAGGCAGAGCACACTGCACAACCATGGGCACAAGGCATAGGCAGCAAGGCCCTACTCATGGTGTCCCCAGATGAGGGACAGTGGGAACCAGGAGGTGGGTGGCTCACACATCTCCATCCCTTCCCACAACTCAGTAGAAGCTCACCTCTCAGCAGAGGTCCCAGGCTCACTGGCAACACAGAAAAGTGACATTGCTGGCCAAACCGAGGATGCCTGGCTAGCATGGAGGTGACAGCTAGGCTGTAGACACCTCAAAGGAATAAGGCCTACTCCTACAGACAAGGCATGAGACTGAACTCAACTCAGAGCTACCCCGTGGCTTCATGTCTGGTCTGATGCTGTGGTGCCCAGGGAAAGAGATGCAAACATCTGGAAAGGCTCTTGACCCTGGCCAAGCCAAAAGGACTGTGCTGTTGATGTCCTAATCCATGAGTCCTGGTAGGCAGAAAATACCCATAACAGAGCATGTGGGCTGTCCTCTGCCCTGGGCTGAGGGCATGGTGTTTTCTCCCCACTGCAGGCTAGCCAGAGGGAGCTATTTGCAAGTCTTCTACTCTGCCCTCCAGAAAGGACAGGGAGTAGCAAAATACCAGACGCTGTTTCTCGGAAGCCGCAAATTACTCCTGTCTGGCAGCCTGCTGTCCCCACCAGACACCGTCCTGCCCCTGGACAAAAACCCAGCCTGGGTGCTTCTGGGCTTCAGATGCTTTGGACCCATGTGAGGTCCCCATAAGGTGGTGGGTGCATTCACATGGGGGAGCGGAGTGTGTGGAAACACTGCCTTCCTGCCTGCTGACATTACAGAGTGAAGCAGGAAGCTTTTACCAAATGGCTGAGAGGCTTGAATTTTTGTAATGCATTTTCATCGGTTCCTGGCAGAAGAGTAGGAAAAGGATCTATTGACCACTGCTGCTAACGATCCTCGTTCATTACAGCCACAGTCCACTGCTAGAGGACTGGCTGTCCTGTTCAACACCCCCCCCCCACCAAAATCCACATCCACCTAAGAAGGACATGCACAACCACAGCACAACTTTGGTAAACAGCCTTATTGATTATTATCATGATCATTATTATTTACAGCATAGGCACTAACATACCCCACTTAATAAGGAAGCTGTTGGAGAAAGACTTAATGGGGATCTCAGTTAAATCTCTAGCATAGGAACGACACAAAAGTGAAGTTGTCCAGTCCTCCCTCTGCCCCCAAACAGCCATCTCTGTTCAGAGGTGCTCATTGCATATGGGTCTTATACAGGAAATCTGTGCTCAGGTACCTGGCTGGCAAAAACCCTCACTGAGGATTTCCCCCAGCCGCCCTCCCCACTTCTCCCCGCTCCAGAGGAAGGGACATGTTTGACCTACACCACAACTTCCTGGGATGGGCAGGCAAGTTTCTACTTGTCCTGGACTTGCACCTGTGACCATCAGGGGAAGATAAAAATTCCTCCTTCCTGGTCATTGCAGAAGAACAGCCACTGTGTTTGCATTCTCAAAATATAGGCAGGGAAGGGATAATGCAGACAGGGAAGGGATGTAAAGCAAGGAGTGTCATCTCATCTCTCACCCTTTGGCAGCTGGAAAGCACATCTGAGCAAAAGCATTCCTGAACTCCCCAGAGGCCACCAGAGTCAGCCCAGGCAAAAGGGAGCTTCTACCCGCCTAATGAAGCACAGCTCATTTACATTCCGGTCGCAGGCACAACC